ATAGACCTTTATAAACAGGGAAAAATGAATAAATTATGGGGTAACCTCAAAGAAAATTAACACATCTTCACATCAAAATTAAAAAGAAGGAAATCAGAAAGATTTAGTAAGCATTAACACACAGAAATGAAAATGACAAGAAAACCCACAAGCAAAATGAATTCCATGCAGAAGATTATGTGGAACAAAGAAACCAGCAGCACACACACACACACACACACACACACAGCAAAACGACAGCAATCAATTCATACCTATTGAAAATTACATGGAATGTAAATAGAATTAATGCATCAGTCAAGAGACAGAAGAGCAGAATAGATAAGAAACAGGATCCTTTAATATGCTGTCTACAAAAGACACATCAAAAAGATGGAGACAGTCTAAATGCCCATCAACTAAAAAATAGTTAAACAAACTTTGGTACACACACACATAATGGAATACCATGCAACACTGAAGAATAATGATGAATCTGCAAAACACCCCCCAACACAGATGAATCTGGAAGACATTATGCTGAATGAAATTAGTCAATCACAAAAGGACAAATATTTATGAGACCAATGTTGTGAAAAGTTAAGAAAAGGTTTTCTTGATAAAAGAAACATTCTATGACGGTTACGGGGTAGGGGGAGAATATTATTCATGGGTTAGAGTGTAGACACATTCTACCATGGGTGATGGGGCAGGCAATATACAATAAGAGGGAGGTTGGCAGAGGAAAGAGGAAGGTAGTGGGTGATCCAGGGGGGAATACAGCAGGTAAGTGAACAGAGGTCAATACTGTTAGCGGATGGTACATGGAAGGAATTGCAATCATTGTAATGAAGCAAAGTGTACGATTTGTTGAATGTAAAACTGATGATCTGTTCTATAAACTGTCACAAACGTTCACTCAATTCATAATAAAAAGTCACAAAAACAAAAACAAAACCCTGCGCAGCACAGTTCTACTGTGATACACACGAGGTTGCCATGAGTCCAAGTCGGCAGGAGGGCAGCTGGTTTTATGGCTGTTTTCTCACTATCTTGGCAGTGCTGAATAGTTGCAACAGATGCCCTGTGGCCTGTAAACCGTAAAAGCTTTACTATCTGGCCATTTATAGAAAAAAATTTGCCAACCCCTGCTCTGACCAAGACAACATTTTTCAAATTTCCAAATTACAAATCAGTGTGTAAAAACCTATAGTTTCAATTTTCTCAATTTCGCCGTCATGCTCTCCTTGACATAAACGAGGTCACACCTGTTTCTTGTGCCTGTGACAGTGACTCCAGGTGACACTCCTCTCTCACAAGGTCAGTCTTTTGGCAGAGCAGGTTCAGGGAGTGGAGATTTCCAGAAGAAGGTGTGCAATGTGAGACAGAGATGAAGATCCAAGCTTTCTCCGTCGGAATGAGGAGACAGGAGACGTGCCCATGGCTAAACTCACATCCTGACCCGGAATTTGCCTTCTTGAAATGAATGCTTTTAGTAAGCTGGATACCCAAGGGCTCTAATGGGAGGCAGACAAGGATGGGAAGCTCTTCTGCATGCAAGAAAAGCCTCATCATCTTTCCCAGGACATTTACTAGGCAATCACTATTGAAAAGCAGAGTTCATGCAATTCACGTACAGTAATGTAGCATAACAAAACACCACCTTTCACATTCTGTTCCACAAAAAGTTCTGACTTACAGATGAATGCTAGGAAAATCAGATAATTAACTAAACTGTCAGATATGTCAAAGGTAACCTATAATTTAGAAAAGTGAAGCTGCAAAGCACAGAAATCATTAGCATGAGTACAGAATTACCATCTCTGTTTGAAGGGTTACACACAAAAGAGGAAATACAGAAGACATCGAGAATGCAAACTATGTTTCCACAATTTGGTGATAATTTGAATTGTCAGGCCCAGCACAATCCATAAGTTAAACAGAGGCTTCAAATGTAGCCGGCTTTGTTCCTTCTGTTATAGGCTGTTAACTTCAAGGGCAGCAGTTCAAACCCACCAGTTGTTCCACAGGCGAAAGATGAGGCTGTATGCTCCCATAAAGGTTTACACAATCTCGGAAACACAATACAGAGGTGATGTTGTAGGATAAGCACTGAATTGTAAAGTTGGTGGTTCAAACCCACCCAAGGAAACCCTATACAGGGTTGCTGTGAGTCAGAACTGAGTTGACACCACACAACAACAACATGAATTGGAACTGAGTTGAAGAGAGTGGGTCTGGTTTGATTTTTGTTCCTTCTGTAGAATGATTCTCAATGTCCTTGCAAATAATGTGCTCTCAGAGACGAAATACTATTCTTGTTCAAATATTTAGTAACTCACTTGCTCTTTTACTTGTCATAAATTCTTCACGCTACTAAGATTTCATCTCTTTAATTCTCTCACTACAGTTTCAGAAGTTTAGCTTTATTCATTTTTACCTAAATCAGCTGTGGTTTGGAAGAACAAGAGAATGAAAAAATGATGTTATGCACATATATAAAATGATGATGAATGATTTTCTGTCCCCTCTCCAGGAGATACAAGATAACTCCCTTCTTGGGAGTTCTGTCTCCTCCTTAAGACATGTATTCTGACAGATTCTTTGAAAAAAAAATTTTTTTTCCATATACTTCATAGTTCAGTGAAATTAAAGCGGTATAATCCTCAGTGAAAAAAGAAACCCATACAAGGTACTCGGAATTCTCAAAGGAATATGAGCTGCTGGAAGCTAATCCAAAGACTAGAAAGAACTTTAAATTGAAGCAGTACCTAAAAATGAAAGTCAGCAAAACGCTCTCCTTCTCCAAAGCTTCCATGTCCTGCAATCGTCTTTTTTTTCATCCAATATTTCCAGGACTGGATGTATAATCTAAAAGGTACTGACATGCTAGTTTCATTAGGGTCGTCTACGGCATGTCAGGGAACTAAGGCTAAGTAGTGATGTTTCCATTAGCCATCATCTGATAATTTGGTATTCTCAAGACCTCTGAGTGACAGGGAGTTCAGAAGTTTAGAAAATTCCAAGAAGTTTACACAGATTAAATAAATAAAGCTATGTATTTATTAATATCCATCATTATGATAATGAATAGTGACATCAATAATCACAAAGATTTTCTCAGTGAGGACCTTTCCATGTGGCAAAGGGCAGTGCAACAGTCAAAATGAGATGCTATAGTCCATACCTCCCAGAAGATGAACATGGTTTTTCTCCAGGAAAAATGACTTAAGGCACTATTTCACTAAGGCCTGCAATTTTTCGGTTACAGTTTGAGTTAGCAGAATATACAGAGTGCAGGCAGAGATAAAGATGATCAAGTAAGGAGCTATGCTGAAATCACAGGATATGTCTGGAAAGTAGTTAAAAGATAAGTAAAGGCACAGAACCTAATGCTCATTGCTTTATTTAGAGGAAAAAGAACTTTGGTGAAGTCTGGCTTAGCCTTTGGGTAAATATTAATTTTGCACAAACTATGCATGGCATTTTTTAAAGAAAGAAGCAAATGACATGAGATCAAGAGGACAGAAGGTATTCCTGTAAGTAAGCAAATATCAGGGAAACTCATAGAATCATACAGCTAGCTAATAACCCTACTATAGTACATAGCAGCAGAATCTAATGATAATCCTGGATTACTTAAAAAGAAAAAAAAAAATTAATCCTGTACAGCCTGACCTTTTTGTGACGTCATTCTTCCACTGTAATTGGGACCATACTGATTTTGCTAGTGCAATATACTTGTGTAGGTCAGTCACATACATTATAAAGAGTTTCTGTCACTTAATAGACAGTAAGTGGTGGTGGTGGTGGTGGTGTGCCGTGGAGTCGGTTCCGACTCATAGCGACCTCGTTCATGCTTCTGCTCACAGATCACCGTGCTTGCAGGATTGTGTATTTACCTCTTTTCCTTAACTCTTACACTCCTTTCAGTGTCTTCTCTTGCTCCCATCATTTTTGCAGACCTCTGTCTTATTGAGTATTACCTTGCCCTGCTCCAAGTTAACACGTCACTACCAATAGCCAATAAGTTACCCCTCCTCCCCTCCCACATCTGATAACCATCAAAAAATGTGGTCTCCTATGATATTTGTCCTTTGTGATTGATTAATTTCACTCAACATAATGTCCTCTAGGTTCATCCATGTTATGAAGTGTTTTGCAGATTCTTTGTTAATTCTGGAATCTTATGTAGTGTTCCATTGCAGGTATGTAGGTCTTGTTTTGGAGGAAATGTTTTATGACAATGAAAAAAAATTAAAATCCTTGCTGTTGTGGAATTCACACACTACTGAAATTTTGATTCTCTACGGTCAGCAGTTCGAAACTACCAGCGGTTCTGCGGGAGAAAAATGAGGCTTTCTGCTTCCATAAAGATTTACAGCCTTGGAAACCCTGTGCAGGGTCACTATGAGTTGGAACTGACTTTACGGTACTTAACAACAACCACTACCCAAAGGGAAAGCAAAAGTTACCCATGGAGTGGGTAGCTGGTTGGAACCACTGACCTTTCAGTTCGCAGTCAAAGCACCAGGGTACACTTGTTAATAAGAAGAGGTGTCCAACCAGAAGACCGTCTAATGATCACAATTTCTTCCATGAAAACCTTGAAAGTGGTTTATTCTTTGAAAACTTTTGATATTGTTACCAAGGATGAATTCATATGTGCTTATGCAGGTAACGAAGTAATACATTTAGAAATAAAGATATCTAGCACGCTAACTTGTAGTTATCTGGGAGTTGGATTTTCGGGGAGGTTACTGAATGAAGATCATACAGAAGAATGGGTAAACACTCCAAAAGATGGGATTTTTATATACAAACATTCAAATCAAAGTGCAAACATCAAGCAGTGACGTGGTATCGCCTTGGAGCACAGTCATTGTATGGCTCCAGACTCTTCCCTGAGAATAGACTCTCCGTGAAACAAAAAACAATACAAAGCTTTGCCCAGGTTTCCCACTGACCTTTTTTTTTTTTTCCTTTCTTCCTACCAACACAAGGATGTTATCTTGAATTACCTGGTGTCGGGCTCGACTTTGGTCCAGAAGCTGCCGTGATTGAAGTTTTTGTTGTTCAAGCTGCTGCAGGGCAAAATGGAGCTGGTAACTGCCCGCGGTGGGGTGATACTTGTGCTGGGGGGCCACCCCTGTTGCCTTGCTATACGCGTTGTTCTCTACCTCTCCCTCCCAGGCAAAGCCACCTGTCTGCAGGCTCCTGAAGAGAAAAAAAATGAGATTTCTTAGAATGTTTGTGAGGACCATCTAAAGGAAAGAGGAGAAATGTGTCAGATCTTCGTCCTTTATAAAACTAAATCCAGTGGAAAATTATGAATCTCATGAACAACCTGACTCCCTGTTAAGTTGGACGCTCCTCATACACAAGGAAGGGCAGGTTTGCTTTGCTCTCCACTCGATTCCTACCATCAAGCTTAAAGCTTAGTGCATGCTCAGTATATAATGAATAATGATTCAATGTTAAATGTTGAATTAGAAATTTCACTATCCTGTGATTTATACAAGGATCTCCATGAGGAGCCCTAAAGGGCTTCACATGGAGAAGAGCAGGTTAATGTAAGGTACAAACAGAGGTACAACCACCTCTAATATCGACTTGGAAAGGCTAGAGGCTAGGGGTGACTACATAGCTTTCTTGCTAGTCCTCAACTCTTTCTTCTTGAAGGAAATACATGTTTTAGAAACCCACTAGTGAAGTATCTAATTCTTTTTTAGACGCTATTTATATTTATGTCTCCATTAAGAGATGACATCATCTTCCATTGACCTCACCAGTATTCGCAGTTAGGCTGACATTCAATCACACACATGAGGCAAAAAGGCCTTTTGACTTGTCAGCCTCTACTCAATAGTGAGGTTGGCCCAGGATCAGGCAGTGTTTCGTTCTGCTGCACATAGGGTCGCTATGAGTTGGTACCGACTCGATGGCACCTAACAACAACAACAACTCTATACATTTGCTAAGTACCTTGGACTATCGTCCCAGCTCAAGTTCTTAAAGTCTACATTCTGGTGACCATGTCTGTGTACATCTTGTGTATGTCTAAGTTGAATTCCTTACGACTACAGGCTCAGATGTGACCCCTCTCAGTTCATTTTTTTTCCAGTAGAAAAGTGTCTTTTTCATAAACATTTTAAAACAACAGTCTTATTTGGCAGTCCTTTAATCTCCTTAACACTCTGGTTACACCCACTCCTCACTTACCAACATGGTTAGGTTCCAAAGACTGCTTAATGCAAAACCAGCATTAAGCGAATCAGGGCCAGCCCCAATCTACAGCATTCAGTAAAAACAGAGGATAAACACATCAGATCACAAAAAGGAGGCCTACATCATTACGTAAGTGCTGCCAAACCACTGCAAATCATGACTCAGCCAAATTGACACGTAGCTTTAACCTCTGAGTCAGCATTATTCTTGCCTCCCACCTCAGCATGCATTACTGCCAGATGTACAATGTTAATGTGCAAAACTGTCAGCAAGATTTTTTTTATTATTGTCATGCTAAATGTCGGATAACGAGATAGCCAATAAATGAGGAGTACATATATTCTTCTGTGGACTTTAACTTCCATGTGGTGTTTGCCCCCCGCCTTTCTTTGGCGTATACTCACCAGAATTGTATACATGGAAGCTTATAAAGAATTTCCCCAAACCCTTACTAATGGGGCTTCGACAAATGAAACAGTTCCTAATTTAAGAGAAATAATAGTGATTTAATTCACTGGGTGTTTCTTCTTTTCTTTGTAAATTCCCTTTGGAGTGACTAGGCATTCCAATGGCAGAGAGGCAGTAGCACCAGGCTAAGGTTACGCAGGCTTTCTTGAGTTCCCACCCGTCGATCACCTGGTTATTTATAACCTGGAGTCCTAATGACTCTAACAGAGTGCTGTGGCAGTAACAGAGTAGAATGTGCGTCCGGTCAAGAAGTCCCTGCTTGACCAGGCTGGAGCAGCTAGAAGAACAGAAGATACTTCTGGAAAGAAAGACCTACAGGAAAAATACAAAACAATAGAGGCAGACCGACTGTTACTACAAGAACAAGGAAGTTGCTTGCCCAGGGGACATCAAGGCAAGTTGTCAGGTCCCCTCAGGACAAACCCTCTTCCAAGACTAAAACTCAATGGGAATACACGCTGTGATTGGTGACCATGCTCGTCACCCATAAGGGGAAGTGAGGGAAAAACAGCAATGAAGTGGCAAGATAAGCCCTACAGTGTTCAATAGACTCCTGTGAACCCGGGTGGAGACCTGGTCGGCCAGCAGTGTGGCAAGACCTGGGGAGTCTTGGGCTCAGAGTCAGTGACATAGCCACAGAGGACTAGAGTGGAGAGTGAAGCGTCCAGCTGATAAGAAGAGAGGGCATATGCATAAGAACACCCACACTTGCAGATAATACCCACTTGACCTGGCTTCAATGACCGGATGACCAGAGCTCAACCAGAAGAAGAAGAGGAAAAAAGAGAGTAATCTGATAGAATTTGATGAACTTGACCTACACCTATGGATGCAGTAGCTCAAAAAAGGAAACAAATCCTTACTGCAAGAATCATTCCCAACCCCTCCACACAGAGTAGACAGGGATGGCTACCCAAAATAGGGGGTGGTTGGTGTGTGCTACAAAGGCAAGAAGTGACTGGCTTACAAGCTTTCAAGATGGAACATAGATCCAGAGGGCGTGGAGTAAGGTAGAATCTCCAGTGAGTAGTATCTAATCTGTCTAGACGGGGCTGATGAAATGAAATGCAGATAGGTCTCTTGCAATACAATAGTGAATAATTGTCATCAGGACAGATTGTGAGGGTTGGAAATGTAAAGGTAGACGTTTTATAGCAAGGAGGGGAGTGATTAACTTTTCATTCTAGGAGGGGAGCTTCCTAGGACCATCAAGGGAGAAGAGCAGAGAGCGGGACCCTACCCAGAGAAGCAATGATACCTGAGATGGAGGCAGAGATGATGAGAGCAGCTGGGGACTTTAGACACAGAGAGGGAGAGGGGCTTTGTGCTGACGAACCGGGGGGTGGGGGGAAGCAGGCTTGTAGTGTATCCCCTTTGGTTGGTTGATGATGCATGGAGGGGAGTGTAACCATGGCAATGAAATGATATACGATAGAATGAATGTAAAACTAATGTTCTCCCATGTAAACTATCACATAATTCACAATAAAACATTTATTTAAAAAAAAAAAAAAAAAGAAGTCCCTGCTCTTGTCTTGACTGTGACCACCTTCCCAGCTTGCTCAGGGCAGGTCTCTGATTTGCTTTTCCTTACCTGTCCCAGACAAAGAGACTGCCAAATAGCTGGCTAAGGGTAGGTCTGAGCAATGTACTCTGAAGTTTATGGATGGAAGGTTTTCTACTCAGATAACCTCATCTTTGATATGTCACATCCCTTACTCATCTACCCCCACAGTTTGGCTTCCACAACTCAATTGCACAATTAGATATACTTCTAGCTAATCTTCTTGGAAAACAGTACCAAAAAGCTCAGCACTTATTTATGAATTCTTTTGAGTATGACATTTGATCTTGGGTGATCCCTCTTGAAATGCCTCAATGTGCATAGTGTTAAAAAGTCATGATCTTTCCCCAGGGACTTTCAGAGGTATGGAGAATGTGGCAAGCACCGACAGACTATATAAATAAGTACCCTAACTAACTACCTTACTACAATGCTAACATTATTCACAAAGTGAAGTGATGAGTGGGAAGTATGGGGTCAGGACAGGAGGAGGCGGAGGAATCTGGTGTCTCTTCTCAGTAGTGAGGGAAGAGGAAGGCCTTCTGAATTTAACATGCAAGAAACCCACTGAATTGTTAAAGAAAGTGAGTGGAAGGAGGAGCAGTGATGGAAAGAGGCAGGCAGGTATAAACAGAGAGCAAAGTTCACAGTGGGAGTGGCCTGACTCTATAAACAAATGGACACAGGGGAGGGGACAAGCAAAAAGGCAGCAACTGTCCTTTGGAGATTTCCAAACTCATATTGCTTTGAACTGCGAATGAAACTATTGAATATTTTAAAGATAACTGAATGAGAGGTCAGAAAATGAATCAGCTCTAATTCTGTGTCCACTCTTGGCTTGCTGGATATGGTTGAACTTTCTAGTCACCATTAGCAATCTAGACTCACTGATTAGACAGCGGAGGACTTACACAACTATGTAGTTCATATCAGAACTCCTTACTGGCTAGCTAGATTGATTTTATTTTCTAAGAGCTGCTTCAATAACAAATATTCCTAGGAGCCATTTACGTTAATACCTCCAATTGTATGTCAGAAGTTAGAGAATGTACTTATGCCCCCTTCTTTGGGGATGATCATGGATAGTCTGTTAGGTGTGTGAATGTACAAGAGGTAGGACAATCAAGTAAGGACTTTGGATAACAGCAGGTTTGTGGGCACATATATTGAACAAACTGAAACATCATAAACTTTTATAGTTGAAGCAATTTTCAATCCCATCTCTGAATCACAGAAAGAAGTTTCTCAAGCAAGTATAGGCTTTAAGCAATGAGGCAGGAATTTTTACAGCAGCTCACTGTAGGGAGGAGCAGGGAATGCTCAGTTGTCTAAGACAATGGAATGAGTACTAGGAGAATTGTGTCTGCTTTGAAATGACAGTTGGTGTGAGTCAAGCCATTTATGAAGAGACCACAAGACTTTGGGTTTCATAACATGCAATGCTACAAAGACTGATACTGCAGAAGCCACGTACAATAATTTGGGTTCTTCCTGACTTCTGGTGCCTGAGTTCAAATATCTATTCCACCTTATGGTAGCAAATGGAGCTCTGATGGCACTTTAGGGTAAGCACTGGACTGCTAACCACAGGTCAGCAATTCCAACCCACAAGTGGCTCCATGAGAGAAAAGGGATTTTTTTTTCTGCTCACGTAAAGGTTTACAGCCTTGAAAACACCATATGGGGTCGCTATGACTTAACGGCAGTGGGCTGGGTTGGGTTGAGGGTAGCAAGTAATTTCCATCCCAGTTTTCTGAACCTTAATTCATTCTGTTTTACTGGTAATACATTTTCTACTCCCTCCAAAATTCTGATATTCAATCATTCTTTGTTCAACATGAAACATCATATTGCACATACTCATTGCAGGTGGCTCTACTGAATAAGCATTGGACTGTGAACCATACTGTTGGAGGTTCCACTGCTCTGCAGAGGAAAGATAAGGCTTTCTGCTCCA